AGGCTTGACTATAAATAATGACAATAGCATGTCATGATAGCTCTTAACCTGCCAAAAGTAGATTTCTTAACATTAAATTAAAATCTAAAAAAATAACTAGGAATCAAGATGCAGTTTCATTATGTTTGCTTGAACTTTCCTTAATGTTTCAATTCATCAGTAAGTTCTTTTGATGAATGACAAATTAATCACCATGCTACAAAAATAATACCATGAGAATCCCGCAGCAAGCAGAAATCTTTCCTTGCAGAATATTTTTCCTCTGATGCATTGCAGCATTTTTTCTGAACACATACCTGTTACACACCAGCAAAGTGTTTAACTCCTAAAGAAGGTTGTACCCTTATTTACAAATTAAATGTGTATTAATTGAAAGCAGTGTCTGACACTGGAAGTAACTAAAGCACTGACAATTTCTAAGAGGTTATCTCAACACCTATTTTTCTGTTACTAATGTAAAAGTCTTGTTGTTACCATAGAAACTGGCATATCTCTACCTACACTTCTCAAAGAAACACACCAATATACTAATGTTTGTGTGTGTGTGTATCTGTGTGTCCCACCAAGTGCTTGAAGGTCATCCTGAATCCTGTTAATAAGTGGGGAAAGAAATGAAACAGCATTAAGTGACAGTTTATTGACATCAAGCCTGTAAATCAAACTGATATTCAAACCTCACCAGACAAAGTTGTTCTAAAGTTCAGAAAGAGGTCCCTATCCTGCCTGCTGCTTTGTGTTTCCCAAATTCCCTGCACCCATAAAGTTGCTTTGGGTTGGGATAAACTTATCCTTACAATGAGCATTTCAAAAGATAGTAGTGAAGAAGGGAAGGTTTGGGGGTTTTTTTTCCAGTAATGCTCTCCTGAAAGAAATTTACATTTGCTATTAACAGGTCAGATCAATAATTCACATCAATGTTTTTAATTTTATGCACAAACATTAGAGTAGTAAATTTTTGTTTATTTCCTTTTTGATACAGTTTCCACTTTCATTAGAGAAAAGTTAATCCATCACAACCACTCTGTGCTCTGTAAGGAAATTATTTTAGCTGGCAAACGTGAGACAGTTAAATCAGGTCCCTATCTAATTTTTATTAATTCTATAGTTCTGCTTGTCACTTGGATACCATCTTGACATAAGGGAGAATGCTCAGGTTGTTGCTATGTAGAGTGCAAAGGAAAACATTTACAGCAGAACCATCAAGTAAATACATACAGTTACATCTTTAAATATATGTTTGTTTCTTTTCTGTCTCTAATTTTTTAAAGCACATATAGCCTCTGTCTTTACTGTCTCTCCATGTGCCATTTGTATGATCCCCAGATTCTGTTCTATAAAGCACTGAGTTGCTTATGTCAATTTAAACATTTTTTGATGAGAGAAAAGAAAGGGAATTTTTATTTTGAGGGCTTACTACTTCCTATATTGAACCAGTGAAGCACCATTATGGCTAGAGTTTGATTATAGTCTGGAGTCAGTAAACTTTAAGGATTTTAACAAGCTCTAACTTCCAAGGGTAACTAAAAATTGCATTACAGCATAAAACCTTCTCAGCAACAAATCTGTCTGAGCATTACAAATGGATTTTTATTTATGAATGTACTTAAGCACATGAAATTCATAAATTTCTCTTCCTCATTAGCTTACAGAGGGATTGCATGTTATGGTTTGCTAAGAAATGCAATATTGGCCACATATAAACTAGGCTGATGGAGAAGGAAAAATCAGTCAGAAAAGTTTTTCAGTTGGAGTTTTGAGGAGACTGCTGGAATAGAGATCTGAAAGCAACCTTTTTCATCTTTACTAGCAATGAAAGAGGGAAAAATATTGTTCTCAAATGCTGCCTGCAGGACCTTGGTGTGTCTGTACATAGAACCCTCAGGGATATGCAAGTGGTTAAATATCATAGAATTTTGCAACTATAAAAATGGATTTATATGAAGTTATCAAGGAAACTCAGTTGAGTTCTGTAGCCCCAGAGCTCAATGGATTTTGATTTTGCTGTTTTCTTTGTTTTTCTTGCCAAGTCTTGTACTTGAGAATCGTGGAAAGGAGAGAAGGATGTGAAATGGGTGAGAATAGGGCTGCATGAGACTTACTAATCTCCAAGTGAGGGATTGAAAAGATTTTTTTGTTTAGGTAAAAGCTGAGAACAGCCTGACAGACCAACAAAACTAACAAAAAGTCTTGGTCTTGCTGTGGTAAGTGTTGGAGCACCTCACAGTGCGTACTTTCCTAGGATATTCCTAGGGTTCACAGCTGAGAATGAACTCCAGCTAGGGACTGGAAATGTTTTCTCTATTCTAAAGCTAACTGAAATCTCAAATGCTGTCTCCTTCTTGTATTTAGGATGCAATCTGCAGCCTGCAGCATCATGCTGCTGAATGAGTAGCAGTCAAGACTTAAAGGTGTCCAAAGTTTATGTATCTGAACTCCAGAAGGTGACCATGGCAGCCTTCAGTGGGCTGGAGGACTTAGGGAAAAGAAAAAGGGATTTTAGATTAGAAACTTCTTGAATTCACAACACTCTCTGTAAAGGATATGGTGAACCATTAAGCTGTAGATAACAACTGAAGAGTTTCCATGTCACTATAATGCAAGAACTCTGACTAGGATATTTTTTAATTCCTTTTAGAATGGCCAATCAATCTAAATTTTAAAAAAAATGTTTTGATGTTGATGAGTTTGTAGCATTCACAGAAAAAACATTAATTAGATTTTTTCCCTGAGTTCTCGTGTGACTATAGGTTTTACAATGTAGCAATTTGTCTGAAATTTTGGACTCAAAAACTTTCCCGAACACAAACTTACATCCAATGAAAACACTCAGGTTACACCTTATTTCATGCTTCAACCATGCAAAACCATTAAGTCTGCTATAGTGTTTCAGCACAAACCCATAAATCACCTTGAGAGGAGTTGAAAGGCCACAGAATTAGTGACCCTACTCTAAGTTTTGAATTCACAGCAAAATTGCTAACCAATTAGCTTTCATCTTGGACTTTTTGTGCACGTCACCTTAGACATTACCCACGTTCTTTAACTGTATTTCTGCATCTTCCAATATTTAAGAGAAAAAGCTTTGAGTAAACAAATAGGAAATAGGCATACACTGTTTGAAAAGGGCTGTTTGTGATCTGTCAGAAGGTGATTAACCTAAAATTAAACTAGTAATCCCAAGTTTGTACTATAATTTAGGACACCTCAGTATGAGAAATGAATGAATAATTTAAAAAAATAAATTGTATTTTCTCTTTCAAAGAGTGTCTTGAATGATTGAATACAGGAGAAGTAGTAACACTCTGGAAACGCCCCAGTCTGTTCCACCAGCAATGTCAGAAGGCAGTCAGGTCAGAGAATAGCTCACTTGGATGTAGAAGAACAGACTTGTGTTGTGAGCAGCTGAAGATCGATTTCAGCACGTTTGTCTCTGGGGATTGCATTTTTAGCGTGCTAGAATACGTTACTCCGAGTGTACGTGCAATTCCAAAATGAGTCACGTTTGTTTCAATACATGTGTGCCATCTTCATGTCATGTGAGCAGCAGCAAACAGGAAAGAAATGCACTTTTGCATATGTATGTGTTTGAACATTGTTTAGACATCCTCAGAAATGGAGTATAAAAGCCTCCAAAATATTCTGTTCTACCCCACAAGGAACAGATTAGAGTTGTTAACTGAATCTGTTCACAGTGAAAACACACACTGTGGATGCCCAGTTGTAAAGACAGAAAGCCTGATTCATTCCTGCTAAACAGAGCTGTGGAAGAAATCCATGTTGCCGTCCATGTGTGGATAACAACCATTCCCTTATCCCAGCCATCTTGTACTTTGACTGATGGAGATAATGTATTTTAGGCATGTCGTAATGTTGTTGTGGCAGATTGTTGTGGCATAATTAAGTCCCTAAAATTATATGCAAATTTTTGAAGAAGGCGAAAGACCCTGTTTTTACAAGGTTGAACCAGGTAGGGAAAGATTCTCCCAGTCAAATAGTATTTACCTTAACTAGAAAAAATTACTGTTTGCTTAATTTTTTTTGCATTTAACTTAAGGCAAATTGTTGTTAACAGATGCTGGTTGGCTACAGGATGGCGGCTTGAGAGCGTGTTAGTAAATATTCTTGACAACAAACTTTTTTAACATAGTCAAGAGAAACCTTTAGTGCAGCCAAAATATCTGCAGAATTCACTCAACATGCTCAGATGTAAGTCATCTTCTGTTTCTTTACAAGCAAAGAAACCACACAGTAAAAAAATCTAAGCAAAAACAACTGCAAAAAAATCCTTCACAGTATGCATTTGAATAAATAGTGTAATTTTCTCCATAAGATTCAACAGTGGAAAACTGTTGCATAATATTTCATCATTTATACGTATTTCATACTTTTTATTTAGTTGCACAAGATTAATCAAACTTATCAGCAAATGCGTCTATGGGATAGTTAACAAAAATAAATTATTCTGGTATGATTTGCATGGAATATACCTGCCTTTTTTTGTTGTACTGGTACACCAATTGCTCACCTGGAGAGAGAAATTATTTGCCATCAGGCACATAGTAACAGTGACCGAATCATGCTCTACAGCTAGTATGAAACACTATGACCTTGATTTTGGGCATGGGCTTCACCTTGGGAATAGTCCCACAGAAACTGAGGAAAACATAAGAAAAGATAGGCAAGTCTGTACAGTGCCAACGTAAATTAAATGAATTCTTGCAGACTTATGAGAAACTCTGGGTTTCATAGCTATTAACATAAGCATTACCAGCACTTTGTCTGTGTGTCCAGATATGCATTTAAAAGACTTTCTGGTAGCAGAATATTATATGTGTTCAATGTGTGTCCACTGATATCTTAGCTGGAGATTTTAAGAAATGCCACTGAATCTCCTTGGGATTGCATTCCTAAATTCTAAAGTACAGACTGATTTTAGAGTACAGAATTGAAAATCATCATTATCTTTTAACTGAGGATAGAAATTAAAATTTCCAGCTTACCTTATTGCTCCTAAATGTGTGTCAAGAAAGGTGGCTGCACCTTTTCCATATTTAGTTGAGTAATCTAAAGTTTGCAATCAAGGGCTTAAAAAATGATCCATATTGCTAATGCTTTTAGGACACGAAAACAGTGTCTGCAGCATTGTACAGAAGGCTATCTGATCAGCGGAGTGTTGAAAATGTGTGCATAACAGTAAATTTCTCAGGAAGTCTATCCAAGGTAGAGGGAACAAATAACGCAGTGTGATGAGTCACTAACAAATGTTTTAGCAGAGGTGAAACTGCATTATGCCAGCATTTTGTTAGTGAGAGTGGTGCATCTTCATTTTGTGCTTATTCTGCAGTCCTAGTGGAAAAATATTTCCACTACAGGGGCAGTGAGCATATGTAATGCAAACATTTTGACAGTGAATGTAAACAGCTTTCCTGCATTTTAAACCATTAAATCAAGGACACAAATTTCCATGGTTTTGCAGATTGTAATCTTCGCTGACTATAGAGAAGATGGTGTTGCATCTGTTTTGTGTTTATAATTGCATGCTATGTTGTGCCACTGTGGCTGAATTTTAATAAACGTGGGGGTTATTAATTGTTATGGATCCTGGAGTCTCACTTGTAACTGTGGTGCAAGATCCAATGATACATTACAGACAAAATGTTTTAAAAGAAATAAACAGTGATTGGGATGACTCAAATATTGCTCTTGCTTGCTCATCTGCTAGAAAAGTATGACAGCCTGCCCCTATTTGATTTCTGACTTCTTGCTTTCCAGTTTCAGTCAGTTGACTTAAACTCTATGTTTTTGGCTTGCTGCATGAACAGGAGCCTCAGGGGAGTACTCTCCATCAGGCTGCTCTATCTAGGTTTCTTTCACTACTTCTGTCATTGGAAAGCATGCAGGGTCTGTCCAAAAATTATTTTCCCAGCTTTCTTCTCCATCTCTCCACCCTGTCCCAAAATAGTTCTGCAGGGAAAATGAAAGTCTCATTGAGCCGACACAGAAAGCACGTGTCAGGATGGGCTCTGTATGCCAGGGAACAGTGCCCCAGGGAAAGAAGTAGCCACAGACTTGTGGGTCAGGAGGATTTTTGTGGAGGAGGAAAAGCTAAAAAATTGAGTTACCAACAACAGGGCAAATGATTTGTGAAAGAGGTAATTTGACTCTCTCGGCTTAAAGGAAAAGTTTTCTTTTCTAATAAATTATTTCTCCCCTTGGTTAGTAAATCATTTCCCCTTCCTAATACACTTAATTTGCTATTCCCTTTAATTATTGCTTGTCCAGGTGGATCTTAAAGGCTCCAACTTAAAAGGAGTCTAACCTAACCTTGGCAAAAAGCCACCCCCTGCCACATCATTAACTGAAAGACAATCATACTCTGTCTTGCCTTAAAATAATACAGGCAGAGTTCAAAATGCTGCAGTAAGTGTTTTTCTCAAGGCAATATCTTGCATTAATAAGAAAGACTGTGGTGGGGGCTGTGTCAGGCCCATCAGACCCTTCTTAAATTAAATGACAGTATATTAATATCAGAGTTTGTGTCCCCTGGATAATGTAGTTTCACAGAGATGCAGGGGATGGTGTTTCTTAGAGGAAAATTGCCTTTGCACTGTCATTACCTGGCTTTAACACTAACCTGTTACAATATAGTATTGTAACTGAGTTCCCATGGGAAGAAAAAAAAATTGCAAACATAGTTTTTATGGAAAGAAAAAAGGGTTTTTTTTCCATCCTGAGCCTAAAAGTATTGAGCTGTGATTATCTTAAAACCTGTTTCTATCTCAGTATATGGGTTGCAAACTTGTACATTGGGTTTTATTTCTAAATCAGCTGTGCAGCACTGTAGAACATCTACTGAATACTTTGACTCACAGCTGTCTTGTCCTGGAGTTTTACAGTTATTTCCAGCAGCATATGATATGTTCCTTGGATCTTTGTATCTTGTGGGAAGGAAATGAGAGAGAATGGGTGAAGAGAAAAAGAACAACTAGAGAGAAGCAAGTCTTACCTTTTTTTTCAGATATGGTTTACAAACCGAGACATCCCAAAATCCCAGGTTTCCTGATCCCTCTCTGCATGCTTGCCACAAAAACCAATGGCTCTGTCTGCTGTAAAATACCTGATGGGTCTACAGCTTTTAGAAAATGCTCCTCCTCAAAGCATTTAATCTTTGTAGGAACACAGCCACTGTATTCCCCTTCTCTCCTGAAAATGTGTTTGGGAGCTCAGGTTTGAAGGAGCCTGGCATGCTGATTCCCAGAGACACATCAATGGAGCAGCAGTGGAGCAGTGGGAGCTCCCAGCCCAGGAGAATGTTTGGCTCTCTAAGGCACAGACTGCAGAATGATTCTGCATTTTAAAACACCAATTATCAACTGTCAGAAGAAGAATATGAAGGATAAGGTGTCTTGCAAGATGCAGTTGGAGTCATTCTGATTATGCCAGTGCCTTGGGAGAGTGCTTGGGGCACTGAAGAAAAACTTCTCAGACAGAGAATGCAGCTGGTCAGTGTTGTGGAACACCACTGATCTACCACTGAAGAAGGGAGCAAGCATCCCAGTGCTGGGGTGTCTGTGCCATGCCAGCCTTGTGGTGGCACAGGAAGGGTGCTGCTGGGTGACACTGGTAAGGGCCAAATTCCTATTTATGCCTTATCAGATTAGGATCAATCTTGCAAACTGCAAGTCTGCACTCTAGCTGCTGTGCTATGTCCAGGGAATACTTAATTTTTTTTATTCTTACAGCACTGGAAGAATATTACTAATTACTCACAATGCAACAGAATTTCTGTTTGAGCACATGCTAGAGTCAGAAAAAAGGAAATATGAGAAGTCTTTCTTTTTAAATGTTTATTAGGATCCTCTAGTTCTCTGCAATTTTAGAAGACCAGCATTTTGACCAATTGCTATGGTAAGGATATAATTTTGTCTGCCTGTCCTTACTCATTCAGACTTTTTTGAAATAGCCAGCTAACCAGCCTCATGTAGAAGTTTCTTTACTCACCAGATTTAGTGACATTAAGCTTGCCTTCTACTCTTATTTTTTATTCCAGGTTTCAAATCCTTCATGTGAGTGAGATTTAAATTTGACTTAATGAAAAATTAGTCTCCTGTGTTAACCAAAACTGTCAAAGAAATTAAAAAGAAGTGCAATTATGCAAAGATTTCATGAGAAGGGAAGTGGAAATCAATTCCTAAACACAACAAGGTGCAGTGGCAGTAGCACCACTATAGAGGTGTGTTTGTGTGTGTGTGCGTGTGTGTGTATCTATCTATCTATATATATATATATATATATATATAGATAGATACACACCTGTTACTATATCCACTTAATGGACTAAGCTGAGATGATAAGACTCTTTCCAGATGACTTTTGTGTCCCAGCTATTCACAATTGCAGAATTTTCTTTGGAAGAAACTGCAGCTAGTGTGAGCTGCATGTATTGATGGCCAGCCTGGTGCCACATCACACCCAGAGCCCACAGTACAGCACAGACCACTGAATCATAGAATGGTTTGGGTTTGAAGGGGACCTTGAAGATCATCTAGTTCAATCACTCACAGAATCATGGGATTTGGGCAAAACACTGTATTTCTGCAATTGCATTTCCAGGAAACATGAGGGAAGAAAAAAGATAACAGTGAATAATTCATCATTCTTTAAATAAAACTGTCCTCTACAGGTTACTTATATAGGGTTTAGCTGGGCTCATTGGTGAATGGCTGGCTCAGTGCATGCTTTTGCCTGTCACTGTTCACTGACCCCAAAACTAATTAAATCTCCTCACTGGGACAGTGTTCACTGATCAGGGAGTCATTATAAGGTGCCATAAATGTGGCAGAATATGTGTCCCTGGAATTTGCTTGATACTTCTGAAACATAGAAGAAACATAGAACACCCCTGCTATAAAATAGGAGTATTACACAAAATTTAACAGATTTATCCTTAAAATATCATTAAATACATGACATGAATCTCTGAAATTAAATCTTTCATTTTCACATGGGAAGTTGGGCTGTATTATAATGGGATTGTTCCACTTGTGTGTCTTGAGGCAGGAATATGCCCAGTCCAGGAACACACTATGGCCTCTTAAAGCATCTCCATACTCTTCTTGTTGCATCCACCCTCCTTCTTCAGATCTGCCACAGACTGCTCCTGTCAAGCTCCTGTCAGGACCCTTCCAGCATCTGCCTATAGCAGCATCACTGTTGCCCTTGCCTCCGCAGGGAATTGTCCATAGCACCACGGAACAACAGGAGAAGGAGAAGGCGCATGGCGGGTCAGGGCTGGGTGTGTGGGCTTTGCCTTCCTCACTGCCCCTCATCAGCTGACTGTGCTTGTGCCTGGCAGGGCTGATGGAGCAGGACAGCCAGCACCTGGTGTTACAGGCTTGGCTCTCTTGGAAGTAGAAAGCCTGGCAGCCCCTGTGGGTTCTTTTCATTTTCCTGGCAAATTATCTGGAGGCCTGGAGACCCTGTGGATGAGGCCTACAGAGCAGCAGGGCCCACAGCACCCAAGTGGGAGGAAGAGTCTTTCTGGTTTCACTGGTGCAGGAGCAGGTGGCAGAGGGGCACTGAAGTCAGAGCTCAGAGGACAAGGTCCTGCCCTCAGGGCACTTACTCAGGGTCCCTCAGTCAGGCTGAGGAGCTCAGCTCAGTGACACAACATTAATCCCTGAGAGAACCAAACTGTCTTTGTTCTCTTCTTCAAGTGGACTGGGAAAAGGGATCAGGACCCCACAGACCAATGGCTTTTAGAGCTCCCAAAACTATCTGCAATTCCCCATAACCTCACTGGGCTTGCTCTCCTGATCCATCCTGCTGATCTGAAACTAAATACCAGGCGGGGAACACATTTCATGCACCTCAACAAAAAGCAAATAAAAGTCCCTGCCAACATCACCCAAAGCAGAGCAAGAGCATTTGGCTTGAAGCAACGCCCCCAGAGGCCATCAAAGAAATCCTTGCCCCTCTTTCTCCTCCCTCTCTGAATTTTGGGGGACTTGAAGGGGTGGTGGGGAGCTGTGAGTGAACCCCAGCAAGCCAGTGGCTGGGTTTTAAGGGAGAGAGGCCAGGGAATCAGGGAGCTGGGGTGGGAGCTTCCCGAGGCACCTCTTGCAGCATCCAGGGTGCCTGTCTGCTCAGCTCTGTTCTCCTGCCTGGCTCAGGGAAATG